TATATATATATATATATATATATATATATATATATATATATATATATAGACATTCTACTGAGAATATACAGCAAAGTAAGTATCTGCATGCACAGGCTGTGCCCGTTTTCTTCTGCGTCGATATAAAAAATAATAGAAGATGAAAACTAATTAATATAAACAACTCAAAAGCAAAATGTTTTTGTTTAAAACAATAATAATAATAATAATAATAATAATAATAATAATATAATACTAACAATAACAACAACAGCACAAACAACAACATATGAATTATTATAATAAAAATAACAACAATAAGAAAAATAATAAAAATAATAAAAATAATAAAAATAAAAACTACAAACATAATAACAATAACAACAGCAATAATAATAATAGTAACAAAAATAACAAAAACAAAACCAAAAACAAATAAAACTAAGAAGAGAATATAATCTAATCGAACAAACGACGAACGATGAAAAACATTTATATATATTCATTTATAAAAAAAGAGAAAAAGAAAAAGAAATAAATAAAAAATAAAATAATTTAATTATTTTAATTTATAAATTTACCATCATTATATAAATATATAAATAAATAAAAATGAAACAGAAAATGATGAACTCGAGAATGTAACGCTGGTTCTCCGGCCTTAACCTGACCGGAGACGAGCCGCAATGAAGGCAAAGACTTAAAGTAAGTGTTTCCCACAAGGCAGCTGACCTCCTTCCGCGGAACCTAGGCATCCTGGGCGTTGAGCTCAGGGCCAGGGTGGCGCGGGGAGGAGGCAGCCCGAAATGGGGTTGCAGCGCACCCCGCTGCGGCTAGCTGAGCTAGCCAGCCCCACGCGTGCACTAAAGGAAGCTTCAGAGAAGCTTCCTTTGCTGCATGCTTTGCCTCATAACGAACTTGTATAACGTTTGCAGACGCTTACGCGCAGCATGCCAAGGCTGTCAATAGGCTCCTCAGCTAACTCTGCGCTAACTCATGTTACAGAGAAGGCGTCGGCAGCACTCCGATGAATTTTTGATAGAAAATAAATTTTAATTTTTTTATTTTTATTTTTTATTTTTTATTTATTTTTATTTATTTAATTAATTTTTAAATTACTTTTTAATTAAAAAAAAATATCTCTGTTGTGAAATATTTTCTGTGGCTGAGCACAGGGGGGCCCCCCAGCCATTCTCGTGGTACCTGCGGGGGCCCCCCCTCACACCGCTGCAGAGGTTGTTTGCGTTTTTTGTTGAAGGTTTTGTGTATTTATTTATTTTAAATTAAATAAATTTATTTAAATAAATATATTTGATGTGTTATGCTGAGATACACGCTGCAGACGAGCTGTATATACACCCCGTATAGTGGCGGTAACCACACTCACTCATCTCGCTGCTTTATACATTTTCCTTTTTTAAAAAAACTTGAATTTATTTTCCTTTTTATTTCATTTTTATTTATTTTATTTTATTTATTTTAAATATTTTAACTCGTAAACCCCGGGGGGCTGCAGCAGCTGAGCCCCCGCCATCTGCTGCAACGCCGCGAGCTGCCTATACACCCCAAATTTTTTCTGTTTCTTTTTAGGATTCTTTACTTTTGGTGTTTAAAGCAAAACAAATAGCAGCAGAAGAATTTATATAATTAAAAAACAAAACAAAAGAAAACAAATAAAAACAGACACGACGGAGAAAAGAAAGAAAACAAGCAACAAACACCACACAAAACAAACAAAAAAAATAAAAATAAAAATAAAAAGAAAAATAAAAATAAAAATAAAAGAAATAAACAGATGATACACGCGAGAGAATAAAAAAAAAAACAAATGCAGCAGAACCAGCATCGTCTCCTCTCGGCTTTTAGCCGCCCCTTAATGTAAAAAACAAATCCTTTATAAACTAAAAAAAAACACAAATTTTTATTTTATAATCCTAAACTTTATTTTATTTATTTATCTTTGTTTGCTTTTATTTTATTTTATTTTATTTTATTTTATTTTAT